CGTCCTTTTTATATCATATTTTGAGGCAGGGTCAGACTTGTGACCCTTTTGCCTCAGCCTCCCAGACTCTGAGATTATGGTAGTGAAGCGTTGCGCCTGGCTCTGTGTGTGTGTGTGTGTGTGTGTGTGTGTGTGTGTGTGTGTGTGTGTGTGTGTGTATTCTACACTTGAAGTGAGGAATATGTTGAAGTACATTGTACACACAGCCAGGTCTTTTATGCAGGAAGGTCTGTGGGTTTTTTGGTTTGTTTGTTTTTGGGTGGTTTTTTTTTTTTAGTTGAGAAGAGGTCTTACTGTGTTGCTCAGGTTGGTCTTGAACCCCTGGGCTCAAATGATGCTTCTGCCTCAGCCTCCCAAGTAGCTGGGCCTACATGTGCATGCCTCTGCGCATGGCTGAGGTCTGTGATTGTACTTTTTTATCTTTTTGCGGTGGAACCCACGGCTTCGTGCATGTTAGGTGAATGCTGTTCTACTGTAGAGTGGCACCTGCAGCATCAGTCTGATCTTTGGCATCGTGCGCAGCTAGGTGACCACCCCAGGCCCCCTTTCCTGTGTCCCCTGCCTCTCCCCTGGGCTCTGTCGGTGTTGCATTGACGTGGCTTAGTTACCAAGCTTCCTGCACAAGACTGTCCCTGTGTCCCCGGCTCAGTCCTTGCTCTTGCTGAATGAGATGTGCGTAATTTGTCAGTAGTGGGGGACTTTGCTCACCTGCAGCGTTTGGTGGTCTGAGCAAAGCTGCTCTGAAGGTATGTGCTGGGCTTATGTGGACCTTGTTGAGGCTGACGGCCGCTTCCTGTGATGGTCTGATGTCCGGCTTCTCCCCTGCCATGAGTGCCAGCCCAGCTGCCTTCCTGGGTCCTGGTCACCTCAGCGTTCCTTTTTTTTTGCATGGTGTTCAATTGGTGTACAGGATATCTCCTTGGAGTTTTGGGATTTTTGCCCTAGCACTTTTTTTTTTGTACCAGGGATTGAACTTAAGACTTTGTGTTTGCAAGGTAGGTGCATTGCCACTGAGCTAAATCCCAGCCCCACACTTTCTAGTTTTTGAGATGGAGTCTTACTAAATTGCTTTGTCTGGCCTTGAACTTGTGATCCTTCTACCTTAACCTCCCATATAGGTTCACAGTGTACATTACTGTGCTCAGCTCATTAGAGTTTTGATTGGCATTCATCTTTTTGTGTATTTGTATTTGCTGAATGGCTGGCTGGCCTGTTTTCTGAAGTTGGGTTCTGTTCTGTTTTTGTTTTGTTTTGTTTTTTTGATACCAGGGATTGAACTCAGGATCTTGTGTTTGTGAGGTAGGCAGCAGAACCACTGAGCTAAATCCCCAGCCCCTGTTTTCTTTTTTACAGTCCTAGGAATTTGACTCAGGGACTTGAGTGTGCTAGGCAAGCCCTCTACCACTGAACTGTACTCTGGCCCTTCATTTTTATTTTGTTTTAAGACAGGATCTTGCTAAGTTGCCCATGCTGGTCTTGAACTTTCTATCTTCATGCCTTCACCTCCTGAGTAGCTGGGATTACAGGCTTGCACCACCAGATTTTTTGTTTGTTTGTTTTGTTTTGTTTTGTTTTGCGGTATGGGGGAATCAAGAGCCTTGAGCAGAGCACACTAGGAAGTGTTCTGCTGGGCCACTCCTCTAGCCTCAACGATTGTGTGTGTGTGTACTTATGTGTGCACACATGTGGGTGTGCAGGACTGGAGATTAAACCCCCAATGAACTATATCCTTGGCTCCCTCTTTTTTTTATGTTTTTATTTTGAGAGAGTGTCTTGCTAAATTATAAATTACCCAGGCTGGTTTACAAATTACAGTCCTCCTGCTTCAGCCTGCCAGAGCACTGGGATTACACAAGTGTGCTACCACCTCTGGCAAGAGTTTGTTTTGTATTCTTTTTTGGGGGTACCAGGGATCAAACTCGTGTTTTCTATTCCTTTTATCAGAGGATTGAGATTATGCATTTTGTGTGTCTTAAGAAATTAGCCTTGGACCAGGGATTTAGCTCAGTACTTCCAATGCCTGCCTGGCAAGCACAAGGACCCAAGTTCGATCCCTGGTACCGAAAAAACAAAAACAAAACAAAACAAAAAAGAAATTAGCCTCACCAAAGTGATAAGAGACTTTATGCTCTTTTATTATGGGACTTTTTGAACCTGAAGTTTATTATCCATTTCAGGTTGGTTTTTTTGTGTAAAGGCCAAGATTCTTCTTGCTTTTGCATGTTTTTGTCCATTTGTTCCATCACCACTTGTGAAGGACACTGTCCTCTGCCATTAAGTTGTCCCAGCCCCTGGGAGCAGAGCATGCAGCCTGCTATGCATTGTGGTGGATGTTTGTTGGACTCTGCTTTCCTGGTGGCCTAAGGGTCTGCACTCTGCTGGTCCATGTTGTCTTCATTGTTGTGACTTTGTGGTAGTGTTATGTGGATCTTCCCATTACTCTAGTTTCCCTCAGAAAGTGCTTGTTGAGTGTCAGGTATGGTGGCACATGCCTGTAATCCCAACACTTGGAAGGCTGAGGCAGGAGGATTGCCAGCCTGGGCCTCATAGTGTATTCAAGGTCAGTCTGGAATACATAGTGAGACCTTGTCCCAGAAATTAAAAAAGAATGAGCTTGTTGATTTACATAAAACAAGTAAGTGGGCTTAGGGTTGGTTGAGACCATAGCTCTGTCTTGGGACGGTGAATGTCATGGCCACGCCAGGCTTCAAGACTGGCAGGTTTTAGTGCCTAGCCTGGTGACTCATGAGCCAAGAATGGCTTCCACATTTTTAAGTGGTTGAGAAAAAATAAAAGGAGAATGCTTCAGGACATGTGAAAATATTATGAAATTCAAATTTCAGTACCATAAATAAAGTTTTATTGAACACATCTGTGCCAGTGACAACACATGGATTCCCTTGGCTGCTTCCAAGCTGTGGCCACGCAGTTTTTCCTCCACATGTTCAGCCTGGCAACCTGGCTCTGCACACCAAGGTGTGAAGGGCAGTCTCCCCTGGGAGCTGGGTGTCTTATGATTAATATGGAGCCTGGCACTGCCACCCGGACATGGGACTGGGGGCTCTGCCCACAGGTTGGCTCCTGCCCCAGGCCAATTGCAAGCTGCAAATCAGACTGCCCCTTCCAGTGCTGCTAGTGTTCAGGAGCAGCTCTTAGAACTTGGGACATGCACTCATGTCTGCCCCTCATCACTGCATTGTTTCCTATCCTTGGGGATCCTGTGCATCACATATCTTTCCCTGAGAGGGTTCTGCCCTTGAGCTGGTCCAGCCTGTAGGTGCCCAACTCCATTCCTGGGCACTGCCCAGAACTTGACCAGCAAGCAAGTGGGCCATGTGGGTCTCCGCACTTGAGGGACTTTTTTTTTTTAAGTTTTTGGCAAGTCAAAATAATTGAGTCTAATTTTTTTCTTTATCAGATTATTTTTTCTTTGTTTACTTATTTTTTGCTTCACGTGCTAGGATAGAACCCAGGACCTTATACCAGTTAGGCAAGTGTCCTACCACTGATCTACACCCGAGCCTGAGATACTTTTTTTTTTGTACTGGGGATCAAACTCAAGACCTTGTGCTTGCGAGACAGGCAGCAGCAGCACCACTGAGCTAAATCCCTGGCCTGAGACACTTTTTAAAATCTGGTTCAGTGTGAGCCCATTGTGGGGTCACATGCTTGTAATCCCAGCGCTCTGGGAGGCTAAGGCAGGAGGATCTTTGCAGGTTTGAGACTGCTTAGTAAGTTGAAGACCAGCCTGGACTACATATGGAGACCCTGTCTCAATGTATTATCCCCTCCAAAACAAAAACCAAAACCACAAACTTGTTTTATCAAGGTGCAGTCTGTGTTGAAATTCATCCAGGGAGTGTTCAGGAATTCAGTGAATGTGATATCTTCCCAGAGCACACAAGGAGGGCCCCAGGCTAAGTTCAGAACCTTCCTGGCACCATGGAGAGAACCTGTGGCCCTCATGTCATGGGCCTTGCTTTTTCCAGTTCACTGTTTGCTGTAGTGCCTGTTCTCTGAATGCCAGCCAGCTCTGAGGGCTGGTACTGAGCCTGTGGTGATCAGGTGTGCCTGGGCCAGCACCTGCCCCTTGGGAGTACACCAGCAACAAGGTGGTCACACAGGTGTCAGCTGCTAGGGCCTGGCTTGGGGACAGAGCTGGCTGGGATCTGGTCTTTTTCATGCAGCTGCTCTGGCCTGCTTGTGGGCATTGGGCTGATTCCAACCCCACCAGGCATCCTGGTCAGCCTGGTTGGATCAGATGCAGGGCAGGGGTGCCAAGGGCCAGTCAGGGTGTTTGGGTACAGCTTTGTGAAACTGGTGGAAGGGTGGCTGGGCTGTCCTGGGCCTGCCTTCCTTCAGGCCAAGCATTACCTATCAGACTGCCTATCACTCTGCATGTGGAGCTGTGAACCATGAGCTTTCACCACTGGGGAAGTGCACCCTTGGGATCAGCTCCCAGTTAACTGGTGCTTGTTCCCCTTCCTCTTCCTGGGGTCTAGTAAGCATCTTGGGATAACTGCTCCATTTCAGTATATGCATTATCCTGGAAAGCCCGACCTGTGTTCTTTGTAGTAGCTGCTTCTGTTGTTTGGGGAGAAAATGGGCTGGGCCAGTATACACTCTGTGTTGAGATGGTCTCTGGAAGCTGATGGTGGACACACCTTCCAGGTCTCCCATGGGGAGGTGTCCCCATGACTCTGTCAGGTGCCAGACACCTGGAGCTGGGCTGTGCCGGGAAAGGTGTGCCAGGTGCCCCAGCCTTCCCAAAAAGGCAGGAACAGGACCTGGCTGCCTTCTGTCTAGTACTACCTGCCCTTCAGTTGGTGTGGGGCTTCACCTCCTCCATCCCTCTCTTCTTCTCCCTCCCTTGGGTTGCAGGGCAGGGGTAGTGCCCCTGCCTGTGTGCTGTCCCCATGCTGGGGGATATGGGGGCAGGCAGGCTGTGGTGTCATGTCTGCAGTGGGGCTACCAGTGACACACTCTCCATCTGTTTGCAGACTATGTCTACTTCGAGAACTCATCCAGCAATCCATACCTGATCCGAAGGATTGAAGAACTCAATAAGGTAGTATGGCTACTCATGGGGCCCAAGCCCTACATGGCTGCTGCCCTGTGTAGCTGTGGCTGAGCAGGGTCTTCCTTGTATTTGCCTCGGTGTGGGTGGTGGTCTTGGGGCTCAGGGCTGCCCTTAAAGTGGACCTTAGCTGTATCATCCTCCTGGACACTATCTCCCATAGGCGAGGCTGCAAGTGGTCCCTGGTGGCCTCTTAGGGGCTGTGACCAGGTTTCTCTGGGGACAGGGGCCTCTGACAAATTAATGCTATGCCAAGTGGTGGGTACTGTCCTCCTGGGGCTTGAGTCCCCTGGGGCCTGAGTAGAGCCCAGCTGCTCAGAGGACTTTAGGTAGATGATGCTGGGGACCAGCAGGAGACCAGAAAAGCAGTCATCAATGCCCATGACAGAGGCTATGCCTGTTCCCCAGTTTCCTTGCCCTCACCTGGCTCCTGTTGGCCTATGATACCTTGATGGCCCCAGGATGCCTGTGGGGTACTGCAGGGTTATCTGCATGTTGGGGTCCCCTGCTGCCTCCTGCCCTGGTCACTGGACAGGTACTTGCTAGTTGATCAGGGCACATGGTCATGCCCATAAACTGAGGTCCAGGGGGTACCCAGAGCTTGCCTGGGTTGGGACTGGGATGGGAGGGAAGGCACTTGTAGGTTCCAAAGCCCCTAGCTCAGTCCATTCACTCTGGGCTTGGAGCCACATCACTTGGGAGGCCTCAGATTGGCTGAGGGGCCTGGTGGTATCAGCTACCTACTCCTAGTCTCCTTTTTTCTTAGTGCTGCTCCATTTGGAGACTTTCCTAGAGTGTTAGGACGGTCCTCACAGGCCCTACATCCCAACTACCTCCCTCCTCCCTCGAACCCTACCCTCCCTGGTATCCTGAGGTGATCTGAGTGAGCCCCACGAGCACAGCTGGCCTGTCTGGGCTCGGGGGGTGGTGACTTGGGGTTCTTTAGGTTAGACAGGATGGGTGGGAGGTGGCCCCAGGTGGGCATCATGGTGAATGTGGCCCAGGAAATGGGCCTGGGGCTCACTGGGGCTCTACTGGCTAAAAGGCCTTGGCTGCGGATATGTCACCACTTTGTGGGTATAGAGACCTGGGGTTGGGAGCACAAGCAGGTCAGAGTGGCTTGGCAATTCCTTGGGAGGCCTGAAATTAGTGGTGGCCGCAGTGTCCATCCTCTCTGTCTTGTGGGCTACTGGGACTTGAGCCCTGGCATGTACCCAGATAACAGCTGCAGGGGGCAGAGGCAGCAAGTTGGGGTGTGGTGTTGGTGGTGAAACTGGAGGCCAGCCCCACATGCTGGTCCAGCAGGCCCTTGTTCACACACCTCAATGTGCACACACTTCGGATGTGAGGAATCAGGCTTAGAGAGAGGCTTCTTCCTGAGAATGATCCACGTGTCCTTTCCTTCCACCTGCAAAGGAGTTGCAGGTGACCAGTGGCCCCACAAACAGAGCAGGTACCTGCCCTGTCTTCTTCAGATGTTCCCAAAGTTTGTGGGCCCTCCTTAGGGAGGGCAGGCTGTGGCCAGGCAGCTGCACATATATGAGCACTCTGAGACCCCTAGCTTCTGTTCTGCTGCTGGTATATCAGCTTCCTCTCCAGGCTCCCCAGAGCCCAGGAAATGTGCCAGAGTGCAGGGCACTCAGTGTTGCACAGGCTGGGAAATAGAAAAGCTCTGGCCCCCATATGGATTGGAGGGTGAGGGACTGCTCTGGTGACAGGTGTCTGAGCTCAGGACAGGCTGGAGAACTGTGTGGGTAAGCCACACAGTGGAGCCCTGGCTGGAGCAGTGGACACAGGGCACTGATACTGGCGGCGTTGAGCATCTCCTAGGGACCAGGATCAGGACCAGAACTCCCCTACTGATACGGTGACCTCATCAGGATATTGGCTCCCCACTACAGCCCTGGAGGATGCCATGCACCCAGCTTTCCACTCTAATAGAGCTCCCCATGGGCAATAGAATGAGATGTCTGGGGAGGGCTTTTCATGAGAAAACAGTTCACAATATGATGAAAACAGCTAAAGGCAGAACAGAGCCCATGATGTCCATGGAGGGGGAAGAGGCACAGGAATGAATCACTGCTGTGGTGATGGGGTGAGGGTGCCTCCCACATCCTCCCCACAAGGGGACAGGATCCACGGACTGGGGGAGAAAGAGCTCAACCCAGAGCCCAGCATCCACTCTCTAGGAATGACAGACAGGAGCTCTACCAGAGGGACCTGAGAAGAGAGGAGGCATCTGGGATGGAAACCAGCCTCCTTCACAGCACCACGTGAAACTTCAGGACTTGGGGCCACAATGCTTCCCAGGAAAAGCAGGTCCCATGTGCACCAGGCTGGGGAGCAGCTGCAGAGTGCCCTCTTCACAGCAGTTCTGCAGGCGAGTGGCTGAGGTGAAGGGAGCAGTGTGGACCCTGTACCTAGCTAGACCTCCACCACAGGAGAGGTCTCCTGGGGACACTGTACTCCTTGAATAGGACTGCCAATTAGGGAGGACGTCAGATACTCGTGAGCATGGTGTTGGGGATCTCCAAGAGACTAGACATTCGTCCAAGGGCTCTGCTGCTGAGCGAGTTAGAAGAGCTCGTGATAGTCATGTGGAGAACTAGGCAAATGGAAGCACTGTGGTGGTGAACTTGGAAATGGTTGTACAGAGCCCAGCAAGGTGGCAAACGCCTGTAATCCCAGCACTTGGGAGGCTGAGGCAGGAGGATCGCTGTGAGTTCGAGACCAGCCTGGGCTACATAGTGAGTTCCAAGTCAGTCTCAACTACATAGTGAGACCCTGTCTCAAAAAAACAAAAAAGGTTGCACAGAGAAGAAATGGAGGAGTGTTGGCCATTCATATGTGGTCATACATTATTAGAATACAAACATAGAAGTGGATTGAATCCAGATGTGGTATATTGGGGCAGGATAGTGTTGGGCGGGTATGGTGTGGGTGAAAGTGGATTCCTGGTCTCCAGAAGCAGGGCTCGTGGTAAACCTTCTGGTCAGGCCTGGAAATCAGGCACACCTGTGTGGCTGCCTTGGGGTGTGGGCTGCTGAGTGTCAGTGCAAGACTCATGTGTGCTGACATTTCATACTGCACATGTGTTACTTTGGGAATCTTTGAATTTGAAAACAAGTGCCTCTCAATTGCGCTGTGGTGTGCCCTGTTGGGCAAGGAGCCAGCTAACGTGTGAGTGCCCAGTGGCATGAGCACTGGACTGTGGCAGCAGACCACCCTGATATAGCTGGTTAGACAAGGGAGGGCAAGGCTCTGTGCAGAGGCTCTAGTGACTCCCCTACACTGTGCTCTGTGACCCGGTAATTTTCTTAAAGGCATTTTGTTCAGTGTTACAAGTGATGTACACTTGTCACTTTTATAGAAGTTAGAATTGTAATTCTTGCATTATTTAGCATTTTACATGAGCTCCTGTTGTAAAAAGATGGTTCCTAGGGATTTAGCTCATTGGATCTGCTGCCTGCCTCTCAAACACAAGGTCCCGAGTTTGTTCCCTGGTACGAAAAAACAAGAAATGATGGTTCCCAGTGGGGTACAGTGGTGCATGACTGTAATCCCAGCTACTGAGGAAGCTGAGGCAGGAGAATCACAAGGCCAGCCTGGGCAATTTAGTAAGGCATTGTCAAAAAATGGCTAAGGGGGTTGTAGCTCAGTGGGGAGCACTCCTGGCCTCAGTCCCTAGTACTGCAAACAAACAAAGGTTTCCTAAGTGGAACTGCTCTGCCTTCAATGCCCTCCACCTGTTGCTTGCACTGCTGGGGGAGCTCGATGAGGCACAGCAAGGTTTGGCTACCTCAGCAGCTACATGGTGCCTTCTGTATCTGGTCCGTGACTGGAACACTGTGCCCCAGAGCCATGAGGTCCTGCCCATTATAGGGCCTTTTCAATGTTGTTGGCAGGAGGCTCATGGGGATAAGGGGAGGGATGAGTTGTGGTTCTAGGTTCAGGGTGGGTGTGTCTCTGCTCTAGGTCCCCTCAGCCACCCTGACTTCATAAGGGTTCCAAGGTGGGGTTGACCTGGGTTCCCTGTCCTATTCTGTCCCATGGCTCTAGGCTCTGGGGTCTTGTCCCTTCCCTGGTGTGACCATTCCCAAGGTCTTGAGGGGTAGATAGGGGTGTGTTCATGGCCCTTGGGAGAACTGAGCCTGTCTGGGTGGCTGTTGCTCAGATGCCCCTCCTTGCTGTTATAGACGGCCAACGGGAATGTGGAGGCCAAGGTGGTGTGCTTCTACCGCAGGCGGGACATCTCCAGCACCCTCATCGCCCTGGCGGACAAGCACGCAAGTGAGTCTTGGCCTGTCTCTATGACCTGCCTGGGGGAGGGCTGGGACACTAGCTACCTGGCCCAGCCACGCTGGTTCCCTAACCTGGAGGAGAGCCCTTGCATCCCATGCCCATTTGCATCCTTTCTGGAGCCTCCTGGGGCTTCGATGAATAATATCCCTTGCCGTGCTTCTCACAGCATCTCATAGACCAGCCTGGGTGTCAGTGGTAGGGATGGGAGACACTGGCCCAGACCAGGCTGTGGCTACTGCCTGCTTCTGTAGATACTCTGCTTGTTTTCACTTTACTGAGAAGTTTCTATAGGCATTCTGAACAGTATTTAGAAGACAAAGTTTTCTCCCTTCATCCTTAGAACTCAACTCAAGCCTTAATCTGATAAACACTGGTTGGAGATATGTAAACTCACCCTTATCCTAATCACTGTCAGGGTCTTACCCTGAATCAGTTACCCTGAATCAGTTGCCTATGGACTGGTGATGCTTTGTGCACATGGAGGTCACAACCTCAGCGCAAAGGGCTGCCTGAGCCCCAGGAGCACTCAGTCTTAGACCCCTGTATGTCCAGGGCAGAGGTAGTGGGTTCTGGTGACAAGTAGTCCTCCATGACAAGCCCCGGGTTCCAGTAGAGCAGGCATGGGGAGGTTCCCGCTGCCACACGTGATTATCTGCCTGATAATTTGGGGTGGAATCTTCCTGAGCCTAGGGCGGTGAGGCTGTGCTCAGTGCAGGACAATGTCTCACAGTGGTCAAGGAAAATGGCTATACTGGGTGGCCAGGGCTGTTCACCAGGAGTGCTGCTGTCCCCCAGTCTGTTCTTGCCACTAGCTAGTGGGGGGGTACCTGCCTGTAAGCCCCACCCCAATTCCAGCTCCTAGTGGGAGGAGCTCTTCCTAGAGGGTCCAGAGCCTCCTATGATGTGTGATCTCAGGGAGCCACCTCCCTGTCTCTAAGCAGGGTTGGGGATGGGGACTTTGTGGGATTATACATGAGGGTGGGAAAGGGCCATGGCCACCAGTAGGGTGGGCCTGGATATAGGATGACATTCTGCCACCCTGCCTAGTAGCCATGGGTGGCCTTGTGTGGAGCTCAGGAGGCTTTGCAGGAGGCATATTCAACATCTCCTTATGGGGCTACATGCTCAGAGCACCATGGGTGCAGATGTGAGCGCCCCTCAACTTCTAGCCCCATTATGTGCCTGCCCTGCAGGCAGCCCTGCTCCCAGAACTAGGAAAGTGGGCATCTTAGGGCGTTGGTTGGAGCCAGTGGAGGTTGCCTCAAGAGGACCTGAGGCTGATGCTGGCCTTGGGGCCTGCCCCATCCCATCACGTGCTGTCCAGCATAGGGCAATTTGATCAGAGATTGCTGTCCTTGTGGGGTTGTGGATGACTGCTCCTGAGCAAGGAGGTGAGCAGCTCAGTGGGTCTACCCAGCCAGGCTACCTGGAACAGACCCACATCCCCTGCCTGGCCTCTGAGCTTGGCCTAAGGGTACCAGGACTTCCCACAGTCACCACACGGGGACAGCAGAGAGCTACAGGTCTAGGTGGCCCAGTGGGTCTGGGGCTGGGGCTGGGGCTGGGGCTGGGTGACAGTGCCAGGTGGATCCTCCTGGTGGCCAGCATCACCTACCCCAGTTTGGTGGGCTGAGACAAGCCTGAGAGTATTTGAGATACAAAGAGTGTTTCTGAGGTAAGCTTTCTGTCAGTCAGTTGCCCAAGTTAACCTTGAACCTGGAATCTTCCTGCCTTAGCCTCTTGAGTAGCTGGAATTGCAAACATGCACTATCAAGTATTTTTCTTTAGCATAGGGCAGGGGCAGCAGTCAAGCCACTGGAGGTACTGGGCAAGGCCCTGGTATTGCCTGGGCCCTGTTAGTATCCAATGCCTTGGTATATTGAGTCCCACTTCTGGTCTGTTGCTCCACGTCTTGGCAGGCCTTCCCTGAGCCTGCCGTCTTCTTGTCCTTTTCCATGGAGGAGGGGCTGACTTGTGGAGTGGGGTGGAGCGGTCTGGCTTGGGGCACAGGGAGTAGGGGTGGGCAGCCGACGTCAACTGGGTGAGATGCCAAGACCTGGGTGATCTGCAGCCGGGTGGTCTTTGTCCCCACCGGGAGGCCTGTGGCCCCCGTGTCTCCTCGGTCCGGGCCCTGGGCAGGGAGCAAGCGGCCGGCGCTGGCGCTAACCTGCCGTCCGGCGCTATCTATCTGTTATGTAGCCCTGTCAGTCTGCTATAAAGCTGGACCGGGGGTGGACACCGGCGAGGAAGGTAAGAGCTGACTTCTGTAAGGAGGGCGTCCTGGTGTCTGTGTCCTGGGGCTGGGGGCGGCAGTGTGCTGAGGGACATAGCCTGACGGGCAGCCTGCATGCCCGTCCCTGCGTCCCCTGCCAGCCCGGCCGAGGAGGGGGCTTTCCTGTATTGGCCTGCAGCTGGCCGTGAATATGGCGTGGCCTGGGGCTGTCCTGCTGGTGCCTACTTGGCCCACCTGCCCTGGACATGTAGTTGCTCCCATTTCCTTCCTTTCTCTGGCCTTCTTCTGAGGTAGGCCCTGGACACCATGTCTTCCTCCCCTTCCTGTCCCGATGCCCGGAGCCTGTCTCTGCAGAGTACCTTTGAGCAGGGACATACCAGGCAGTTAGGCAGCCCTCCTAGGTCTGAGCTTGTGCAGCTGGCCTGGGGCAGGTGTCAGCTGGTGTCTGCAGCCCCCACTCACTGATGCTCTGTCCTTTAGGGGAGGTGGAGGAGGAGGTGGAGAACCCAGAAATGGTGGACTTGCCTGAGAAGCTGAAGCACCAGCTGCGGCACCGGGAGCTCTTCCTGTCCCGGCAGCTGGAGTCGCTGCCTGCCACTCATATCAGGTAGCTCCCTCGCCCTCTCTCCCAGCCCTCCTTGTCTGTTTCTCCTCCACCTGTGTGTCCTTCTCTTCCAGGGGCAAGTGCAGCGTTACCCTGCTCAATGAGACTGAGTCGCTCAAGTCCTATCTGGAACGCGAGGTGAGGCCCAGCCCACATCAAGCACCTTCTCATGAGGACTGGGCCCCTTTTGACCCACAGCACCCTGGGACCAATATCAGGGAAGCAGGGGATACAACCCATTGGATACCTCCAGGTGTCCTAGGGTCTATTTCCTCCAAGATGACCCATGTGGTGAAGCCCTGCCCAGGACTCCAGGGATGGAGTACATGGCCACCCATGGGTCTTGAAAGGGCTTGGTGGATGTCATACAGAGGATAGACAGAATTCTATGTAGGCTATGCCTGCCCCTGACCCAAGGTAACCTGCAGGTTGGCTGAACAAGTCCCTGTGCCCTTGGGTCAATAGCTGGAGCAGCTGGGAGAGCCAGGGGGAGTGGGCCTGGGCTAGGTGCCCTAAGGGCTGCCCAGCTTTCCAGGAGCCCAGAGCCTTGGAAAGTTCACTACTGGGCCGAGGTACATGGGAAGAAGCCCTGGTATAGCCTCATGGAGAGACACTGAGAAATGTCTGAGGATATATGTGAACAGAGAGCTGGTAGGGTCACAGTTATGTGTTGATGAGCTTGGTGACCATCCTGGGTACTGCTGTCTTGGCCCTGAAGCCTAAGGGTCCTTTGGTGCCTGTTCCCACTGCCTGTTAGGAAGGGTAGGTTCCAAGGCTCAGGGCAAGAATATTGAAGACCTGGGAGGTGCAGAGGCCCATAGCTTGGGGTGGGTGCTCCTGCCCAGACCTGTGATAGCCCTTATATATTCTGCACAGATAAGCTCATTAGGCAGCTACAGAGCTTGGGAAAGCAGAGAAGGTACTACAGAAGTGGGCCCACTTGACCACTTGGGTGGAGAGGAACCAGGGCAGGCCCTCTTGCATCTGGCTGTGTCTTCACAGCCCAGCTCTTGTGCCTGGGATGTACGTAGCATGCCGTGTGAACATCCAAATACAGCCACAAGGGAAGTCAGTTGGTTTGAGCATGGAACCTGGGAGCAGGGCAAGGCTTGGAAAATAGCCAGGAGTTGAGGCTGGTAGGATGGAAGCATGAAGTCCAGGAGAAGCTGGGGCACCACAGCAGGACTGGGCAGAGGCCAGGTTTCCCTCTTCAAGACTGAGCCACTTGGGACTTCCCAAGGAACATGACCTTGGGGGTAAAGTGCAGGATATGAAAGAATGAAAAAAAGGTTGTGGCTGTGAGTTCTAGCCCAGAGGGATCTGAGGCTGAGGTTGGAGGTGACCGCAGACCCTGAGCCCTGAGAAAATCTGTGCGTTGAGAACACTGCCTCTCTGTGTGCAGCATGACCGCCAGGTGCGTTCCCAGGAGCCTTGGAGTGTTTATAACTCTTAAACACTTGTGTATAAATTAAATTTTCAAATTGTTGCTGGGGACAGAAAGGCAATGGCTTTGGCCTGGCCATCCCCAGCTGACCATGGCACCTCCTGCTGGGCTCTGAGCAGATGTTCCTCATTTGTGGCAATCTCTTGCACCCTCTTCACACGCTGTATTTCTCCTGCTGCTGTGGTGACCTCATCTGCCCCAGGTCCTAGGGCTGAGGGCACATCTGACACCTGTCTTGTGTGGTGTTTTTCAGGATTTCTTCTTCTATTCTCTAGTCTACGACCCCCAGCAGAAGACCCTCCTGGCTGATAAAGGGGAGATTCGAGTGGGAAACCGGTACCAGGCTGACATCACAGACCTGTTGAAGGAAGGTAGGGTTGGCTGGGGACCAGAGCGGGTCTGCTAGGTGTAACTGTCGTGGGGAAGAGGCTGGGATGCCCACCAGGAGGGAAGCTCTTCAAGGGCTAGAGTGAAGGTGTTTGAGGCACCTGGGAATGCTGTGCCAGGCCAGTGTCACCCCCGCCTCCTGTCATGTACACAGCCGAGAAGGATCAGGGCAGCATGTTCCAGAACTCCAGTGCCACATGCATCAAATGGGCCATGGGCCATTGCTAGTTAGTGGGTTGATTTTCTTTGTTTCCTTTTGATAGCTTTTGTGACCCTTAAACCTTTTTTTCTCTGAAATATTTACTTTTCAAGAATCCCCTGGCTTGGGCCAGCCTTGCAAGTGCAAGTGCCCAAGTTTGACCCCTGGGACCCCCCCAGAAAAAGAATCCACTGGCTTTTTTTGTGTGTGTGTGAGGCCTGCCAAGAGGCTGGGGAGATAGTTGCTGTCATTGCCTCCCTTCTCAGAACCTTCATTTCCACAGGAGTGGGTGTATACCCCACTCCTTCTTTGCAAGAGACCCATCTTTCATCTCCTGGTGGGACTGATGAGGCCTGGCTCTGCCCCGTGACATCTGGCAGGGTTAAGCATCCTGTGCAAGTGCTGCTCATAAGCCCCATGGGGCTTGAAGTTCTGGGAGACAAGGACCCTCTTGGGTGTGCACCTGAGTCAGGGATGTAGCTTGTAGGGTGTCCTGCACATCTATGAGTGCAGAAGGCTCTCCAGGTGGCAGTGCCCTTGGGTATCTTGGGCCTGGGTGGGGAAGTCCCCTAGGGGAAGGCTATCTCTGGGTGCAGTGATAAGTGGAGTCTTGGGTCTGGGTTTAGGCCCTCAGGCCAAAATTAGGGTTGCTTTCAAGCAGTAGAGTTTCAGTCCTTGTGTGCTCCCCTCTTGAACAATGACCGGCTGTTATAGCTCCGGCATGGCTGTCCTCATGCCCCAGCACCTTCAGTTCTGATGTTCCACACAAGTCCCTCTTTGTAAAGACCTGACCATGTGGGCCACCCAGCCACTCTGTACAGCGGACACACCTGTTGGGCTCTGTCCATCTCCCACGTGGCTGCAGCCTCCTGTGCCTTGGGTCTGTTCCTCTTTTAGACAGTGGAAGTTGCAGCAGCTCTTTTGTGGGGTCCTGAGGGTTGGAAGGTCAGTGCTAGTCACAGCAAGTCTTGGGTCCCTGGGTCTTCTTGGCTGACAGGGTTGGATCCCAGGGGTTCCCTGGGAGGCTGCCTGTGTGTTTTCCTCTGTCCTTTGTGGAGGCCCCTTGCTACCCTTCAGATGGGAGATCCACAGGCTAGGATTTTCTCCTGTCCCCTTTCTGGGTCTCCAGATAGCAGATGTTGGACCCTAAGACAGACCACAGTGTGCTTCCACTACTTTCTGGGGGCCATAGTGGGTCTGCTGGGGGTGAACTCTTGGTTCCTTTGCAGCCTCCTAATTCTGTGGATGTAGTATCTAATCTCCCTGAGCTGTTAGATTTTCATTTATTTGTGTGCTGGGGATTGAACCCAGGGCCCATTGTATGCCAGGCATGTATCTCACACTAACCATGCTATGGTGGTCCTGGCTAGGCATGTTCCTGACCTCACTGTGTGTGCCCAGCCCTTTCTCTGTTGGCATCTATGGATCTTTGTCCTTGTTATGTATGGGGGGATCCAGGTGAGGCACAGAGCCTAAGAGGCAGCTGTGTGGGGCAGGTGAGCTGGGAGGGGCTTGCAAGAGGGCGGGGCCTCCCATCACCCTGTGCCTGTACTCTGGGGCATCCTCATGGCATATCCTCTTCCTGAACAGGGTTAGCCCAATGGCCCTGCAGGCGGCCCTAGCCACCTCACAGTCTCCCATGTGAGGACCACAGAGGGGGGAAGATACTGAGGGTGGGAGCTTCCCCAGGAGCATCTGTCCCCCAGAATCTAATATGCCAGCTGGCTGCCCTGGTGCCCCTGTGCTCAGTGGAAACTGGGACAGCTGGAAGAGAAGTAGTGCTCACCATGCCCTGCGACATTATAGGGGGTGGGGGCCAGGAGAAGGGCCAGATGTGAACCCCAGTGCCTCCTCCCTCTCTTCGCAGCTTTGCCACCTCCTGCTTGTGGCAGGCCTCTGCTGCAAGGTGGCCTCACCAGCTGGTTTGTTTTGTTCTGTTTTTGCAGTACTGGGTAGTGAACCTAGGTCCTTCACACTGAGCTATATTTCTAGCCCTTCTGTTAAAGATTCTTATTTTCTTCTTTTAGATTCTTATTTTTCTGTTTTGAGACAGGGTCTTGCTAAGTTGCCCAGGCTGGGCTGGAACTTACAATTCTGCCTCAGTCTCCCAGAGTATTGGAATTCCAGGTGTGCACCACCACACCTGGCTTGGTGTCATTAAAAGTGACATTGAAATTGCCCACTTGCCTTTGATGTGTTTGAAATTTTAAAGGGACTATGAGAAAATAGCTCAAGGTATAGCGTGCAGCATTTTAGCTGAGAACCAAGGATGCCAGGAGATGAACCACATCTTCCTGGGCACATCCTGGCCCTAGCAGAGTGGTTTTAGATCTGAGTCTACACCAGGAAAGAGACCTTCCCATGGCTATGGAAAATCCTGCTGGGTCCATCCCACGAGGTCAAGGGCAATGGCTGCATTTGATCTTCCTGGCTTTGGTGCCCACGACTGAGCCCTGAGTTTCCCTTCCAGGACCCTTTTGTTGACTACTGACTGGACACAGTTGAGGCTGCCTGGCCCTCGAGGCAGGGCCCAGGAAATGCTAGTCCCAGGCAAGGATCAGATGTTTTCTTGAAGACATCCAGCTTGGCTTCAGCCCTGATCGGGGGCCTGGCGCCCTAAGGGGTCCTGTGCTTAGGTAGCCCTCGGTCACAAGGTGCATTGCTGCCAAGGGCCAAGGGGTGCCGATTAGATCTTCCACGGAGCATGCAGCTTGATACCCACTAAATTATGGATGCAGCACTCGGGAGAGTTGGACAAAGGCTGATTGTGGGATTTTTCCTGGGGCCTCCGAGAGTCAGACCAGGCTAGCTCAGGACACGAGCGCCCCTGGGGCCTCTCTTCTGTGCAGTTAGCGTGGCCTTTCTGGAGGCACAGGGCTGCATCTTGGCCACATCGTCACTGATGTTCTGCAACAGTCTCTAGTGGCTTTGGCAGGACATTGCACTAAGGATGCTAGTTAGAAAGCACATGGGATCTGTTATTTCTCACAGCTGCATATGAATCTGTGGTTTGTCAAAATAAAAATCTTGATTAAAACTTAAAAATGAGTGTTTCTCTGCCCCTTTTGGTGGCAGCTGTCAGAGCCCACAGGCTCTCCGTTTCTGCATTTGCGGGCAGGAGGTCACACAGCTGTCCCTGCATCTCCAGCTCCTGGGAGGGGGCACCATGTGGGGTTTGGGGAGCACTCATAATGGCCTTCTAGGGGCCTACTGGCAGCCTTCTCCAGCCTCACTACACCGCACTTATTCTATGTAGGGGAGGAGGATGGCCGTGACCAGTCCAAACTGGAGACCAAAGTGTGGGAGGCCTACAACCCACTTGTAGACAAGCAGATTGACCAGTTCCTCGTGGTGGCCCGGTGAGTGCTGCCTGACCAGGGCAGACAGCAGGGGGCTTGGCCTGGAGTCAGATCCCCAGGTGGGTGCTGAGGATGTGAGGGTTTCTTGTGTTTGGACAGGAAGCTGTGCCTTGGCCCCCCAATGGCCAGGCCACCTCTGGTATTAACCCTTCTCTGGGCATGGACACTAGATGACCAGGGCAGGCATGGCTCTGGGGGCGCTGGGCTGTGTCCTACCTGTGTGCTCCTCCCAGGTCCAGGCTGGCACCTGGTGTGGAGCTGGCCTGCTAGAGAGAGAGAACAGGAGATGCTCAAAGAAAGAAAAGGGCTGGGGCCTGGGCAGGCAGCTACAGTTAAGGAACTTTGGCAGGGCCTGGGAAGAATGGCCGCCTGTCTGTCCTGTGCAGGCAGCTTGGCATCTCACACTCTCCTCCAGCCTCGTGGCTCTAACCTCATGGGTAAAGAGTTCCCTTAGCTTTCTGTCCTTGGACGCATGCACTGTGTGGACTCCTGTTCCACTGCACTGATTAAGCTGCCTTCATAGTTTCCCAGGCTTCTGGGAGCAGAACTCTGTAGGCCCCTGACCTGCCTGGTGGGGCCCAGCCCATCTACTCTGATGGTCAGTCTGTCTCCCCCTCACCAGCTCTGTGGGCACCTTTGCACGGGCCCTGGATTGCAGCAGCTCTGTGCGACAGCCCAGCCTGCACATGAGTGCTGCCGCAGCCTCCCGAGACATCACCCTGGTGAGTGGGCTCCTGCCACCTCCCCGCCCTTGCCAGGCGCTTCCAGTGTGTGGGGAGGGTTTTGGATGGGGACAGTCCCAGGGTCTGGGGACAGCATGGGCCCAGGTGACCCTCCTGTCTCACTGCAGTTCCACGCCATGGACACGCTGCACAAGAACATCTATGATATCTCCAAGGCCATTGCTGCCCTTGTGCCACAGGGTGGGCCGGTGCTCTGCAGGGATGAGATGGAGGAGTGGTCGGCATCCGAGGCCAACCTTTTTGAGGAAGCCCTGGAAAAATATGGGAAAGATTTCACAGACATTCAGCAAGATTTTGTAAGTGCCACAGGCAGGTTCAGAGGGTAGCCAGCTGGGCCCTGTGTCCTTGTGGGGTGTAGGGGACGCTCCGTGGGGAGCTGTATGCGCCCATCACAGCCAGGGCCCATACCTTTTCTTGCCCCCTCCTGTCACTGCCTGACAGGAACAGCACGTGACAAGGACACGGTCCTCCAGGTGCTCACCTAGTGATGCCCTTACAGGGACTTGACAGTGCTTCCGCATGCCCTCCACCTCAAACTTGTTTTATGTTCTTCTTACTTCTCCTTTAAGTCCAACCTGCAAGCCTTGCAGTCCTTCAGTGGAATGCCTGCCTTTCCATGTGGGCAGGACCTGTGCCCTATGGGACCGCACTCCTAAGTGCCCCTAAGGACTGAATGCACTGGAGTCCATCTGAAAGAGCAACCCCACCACTGTGGCAAAGCCCACCAGGCCACCTCAGAGGAAGAGCATATCTCTGGTGACTGGGCCAGACAGACCACCCACAACAAGGAGGCCAAGCTGTCAGGGCACAGTATGCAGTGGGACCTCCACTGTTCAACTAGGAGTGGTAGGAAACAATTGCAAGCCCAGCCAGGGTGGCAGAAACTAAACTAGGATGCCGAGTACCAAGGAGGCAAGTGGAGGTAGGGCACAGCTTGAGGGGCCCTGCTGCCCAGGTGAGTCAGTGAGAGCCTCAGCTACAGTGGTGGATGGTAGAGAGGAGCTGCTGGGGGAGGAGGCTAGCTGCTCCCTCCTAGCCCACAGTCAGTGACTTCTGCTAGGCAGAGAGACACATAACTTGTCCAAAAAATAAAGGAGCAAAACTTTCTCAGAAAAGGAGAGCAAGAAGGTGATGGCTAGAAATAAATTGTGTCTGATAAGACTAGTGATGGAGCAAAATTTAAAGGGGAAAATTGTTTTTGAGGGCAAAATGCAGCAAGCTGTGAGATGGAGGAGCCTTGGCCTCAGGAACCCAGGTGTGCCAGCTGCCCCTTGGGAGTGGAGTGTAGGGCTGCCTGCAACAGGCACCGTCTCTGGCTGTTGGGTCTGGTAGCTGAATACAGAAATGGTTCTGCATTAACAAGGTGGCTCCTTAGATAACTACTGCCATGGAACCCACCTGTACATGTGTTCACAGTACATAGCGGCATAGTCAGTGAACACCAGAGAAGGCGCATCATGGGCAAGTTTCCACAGTTTGGAATTAAAAGCCTGAAGCCCAGGGTTAGAGCTGCAGCTCTGGTAGAGTGTTTGCTGAGCATATGAGTGCCTGGGCTCTGTCCCAGCACTGTACATGCACACACACATGTGTGCAACCTTGTGTCCTCAGAAAGTAAAGGCAGTGCTCTAAAGAAGAGTTCTGTGTTGGAGTCAGGAACACCCTGGTGAGAAGACAGCAGATCCAGAACACCTGGCATTGTGATCCAGGTCTCGCAGGGGATGTACAACTCCTGACTGTTGTGTCCAGAAGTGAGAAAAGTTATCATCTCAAGCAGTGAGGCTGAAGAATTTCAGGAAGGATGGAGGCTGTGGAACAAAGCCACAGAGAAGTGGTGTGAGGAAATTGAGCCAAGCCAGGATGCCCAGCCACTCTTGAGATGTGTCTGATGTGGAAGAGACCCTGCCAGCCTCTGTCCAGCATCTTGCCTGTCTGATCCTCCTGCCTGCTATACAGGATCTCTGAGACTGGGTGACAAAATGAACAGACACTTAGGATGTGGGGTTCTGGAGGCTGAAGTCCGAGATCCAGGGCGACATCTGTTGAGGGCTCTCATCCTCTTGTGATCACAGGCAGAAAGGGCAGTGAGCACATGGCTGAGTGCTTCTTAACTGATCCCTCCTAATGGCAGTGCCCTCAGACTGTTATCCCTCAAGGTTCTGCTCTGATGTTTCCCAGTGGTGGTCAGATTCCAACGTGAGTTGGGGGCTGGTTATGCTGAGGCACTTTCCTGAGATCACTGTGTACAGCACTCAGCTTGAAGGAGCTCTGCACTCATGTCCTCAGTTGGTAGGGGTCCCGCCACAACACCCAATACTGCTTGTCCCTGCTACCCTCCTCCATAGCCTGTCTGGGCAGCAGCCCCTGTCCCTGCCCCTCGTGACACGTCCTTCTTGCCCCAGCTCCCGTGGAAGTCGCTCACCAGCATTATCGAGTACTACTACATGTGGAAGACCACCGACAGATACGTGCAGCAGGTGAGGGCCATCCTTGCCCCTGAGTGGAGGAAGGGAGCTGGGTGACTAGGGAAGCCAAAGGCAGAGCCCTATAGAGTTCTCATGACTGGCGCCCTGGGCTGATTTATTTGTCTTGGATTCTATGCCAATTTTAGGATAACCTTTCTAACAAGCCTCCCAGAAGGAGGGAGTGCTGGAGATAGTGGTGGTTCCTTCCCACTGCTGAGCTGTGGTGCAGCCAGCCTGCTGACCTCTCTGACCCTGTTTTGTTTTGTTTTTTGTTTTTTGTTTTTTTTTAAGAAACGCTTGAAAGCAGCTGAAGCAGAGAGCAAGTTAAAGCAAGTTTATATTCCCAACTAGTAAGTCCTGTCCCTGTGTGTTGGGCTGGTGAGGGTGGGTTGTGGGCACAGCCAGGGAATCCACTGGGTCCACTGGCAGTCTGGGGCTCCCGTGTCACCCTGGCTGGGAGTCTGGGGTGGCCCTGGAGTGTTCTGTGGTGCCTGGGGGCTTTGCACTGGTTCTTCAGGTCTGCCAGTTGGTCGGGTAGATCAGGATCCTAGCCTGTGTGGCTCAGCGTTCAAGCTAGGCTTGGAGTTGGGCACACTAGGGCATGGAGAACAAGTCCTGCTCCATGTTGGCCGCTGCTCCAGTGCAAGGCAGGGCTAGGATGCAAGGATGTGGGTCTGGGCACAGGGCTCTGCCAGGCTCTTGTGACCCACCCTACCCTTTTTCAGCAACAAGCCAAACCCGAACCAGATCAGCATCAACAATGTTAAAGCCAGTGTGGTGAATGGCACAGGGGCACCAGGCCAGAGCCCTGGGGCCGGCCGGGCCTGCGAGAGCTGTTACAGTAAGTGCCTGGCCAGCACCTGCCCCATGGCAGCAGGGCCACGGGGACACCACTGCTGTGTCCCAGAGGACCCTGTGGCCTGGTCTGGAGGGCCTGCCTATGACAGGGCTACTGCTGTATGGGGTGTGATTGGGTGGGTCTCTCCAGGAGCGGGGGCTCCCTTGGGTAGGTGTGGGGGGGACCCTGCTCCTACCCTGGGATGAGGGGATGTGGTGGTGGGGGGACACTGTGGAATGCTCTCTGCACCGTTGGTTCTGCTTAAGAATCCGTCTATTTCCAACTTTGTTGTCCGTAGCCACACAGTCTTACCAGTGGTATTCTTGGGGTCCCCCTAACATGCAGTGTCGCCTCTGCGCATCTTGTTGGACATATTGGAAGAAATATGGTGGCTTGAAAATGCCAACCCGGTTAGATGGAGAGAGGCCAGGACCAAACCGCAATAACATGGTAAATGAGACACACCCACCCACCTGTTGAGTGGCAGCCTTGGTTCCCTTGCCCCCAGTCATGGCGCTGTGTCTGGGCGGTGCGCCCCCTTCCGCAGAGTCCTCACGGCATCCCAGCCCGGAGCAGCGGGAGCCCCAAGTTTGCCATGAAGACACGGCAGGCCTTCTACCTGCACACCACCAAACTGACGCGGATCGCCCGGCGCTTGTGTCGCGAGATCCTGCGCCCATGGCATGCTGCCCGCCATCCCTACATGCCCATCAACAGTGCGGCCATCAAGGCTGAGTGTGAGTGTCACTTGGGGAGGGAAGTGCGGCGCAGCCCACGGCCCTGAAAGTGGCTGACTTCCGGTTTATGCCATTCCTTCCTCTGGGGCTCAGTCAGGGTGCAGTGTGGAGCCCTGACCCTCTGGTCCCCCACAGGCACTGCCCGGTTGCCCGAAGCTTCCCAGAGCCCACTGGTGCTGAAGCAGGTAGTACGGAAGCCCCTGGAAACTGTGCTCCGGTATCTCGGTAAGCAGGGACCACCCAGCTGTTCAGTCACAGCTCCTCCATCCACAGGAACAGTCCCCAGGGCTGCCCTTTCTGACACCCTGCCCCATGCTAGGCTGCGGCAGAGCCACCAGAGCCTATGCTGTCCCTGACCCCTACCTTGGCTGCCCTTTCTGGCTGTGGCAGGGGTGAGTATGTGCTGCCCACAAGGGGGCCCCTAAGGCCCTCATAGGCACACTGAGACCCCAGCCAGAAGTGGTGTGCTCTGGGAACTGAGCCGTATGGCCAGGGCAGGAATTCTCACCAGAGTGCGAGGCTGAGTGGAAGTGACTGTCCAGGAAGGACATTCCAGAACCGTGAGCTAAGTGTACTCCACAGAGACACAAGTAGCTTTGGCATCAGCCTTTGTCCACAATGGTCACTGGCCCCTCAGCCAGCCTCACCCCTGTTCCATGGGGTGGTTTGTTTGGTGTCTGGCCAGTAGCCAGCTTCTGCCTCAGCTGTGGTGGTCTGGATATGGAACTGGCTGATGGGCCTTCTATGCATACGGCCACATCCTGGCACTGCTCACCCTTCCCCAGCAAACTGCCTGGCCATCCTTGCCAGATTGCTGCCCTGTGGAGGTGGGGCTGGTGCCCCTTCTCCTGAGGTCATTCTGAACCCCATCCTCAGAATCTGCAGTGAGTGTCTCCTTGGCCTGGCTGGACCACTGGGGTCAGGATGGGCTGCCATGTCTGGACCTGCCTGATGTCACCCCTCCCTTGCTGTTCTCACAGAGACCCACCCCCGACCCCCAAAGCCTGATCCTGTGAAGAGCACATCCAGTGTGCTCAGCAGCCTGACCCCTGCCAAGTCAGCCCCTGTCATCAACAATGGCTCTCCTACCATCCTGGGCAAGCGGAGCTATGAGCAGCACAATGGTGTGGACGGTGAGTCTGGTGGGCGCCCACCCTGACACAGGCTGTGCAGGATCTGCTGGCCCATAGCCTCCTGGCCCTTGGCTCACACAGCCCAGGCTTGTCTGGCTCCTATTGACCCATGTTTTCTCTCCTCTCTCTCCCGGCCCTTGGCGCTGCCAGGCAACATGAAGAAGCGCCTCTTGATGCCCAGTAGGGGTAAGGCCCGGGCGGCCACTGGTGGGTGCTGTGGCTAAGCCCCGTCGTAATGCCTGTGTGTGCTGTCTGCTCGTGTGGCGGGCGGCATGGGGCGCATCCAGGGGCAGTCCACATGGGCCCACTGTGGCCACACACCCCCATGAGCTCCACTTGGCATTTGGCAGAATGCCCATGAGCCTGGGACTCTGGCCATCAGTCCTTCCTGACTCATGCCCTGTTAGTGGACTGTCCTTGCATGCGTGGCCCTGGTGTCCCCACCGCCATTGTGCTGTGATTTGCCCGCATGCCTCAGCCTCGCTTGTGAGGCCACCTGTGCTGCCTGCAACCTCTTTGCGCACCCTGCCAGTGGAGATAGCAGAGATGAGTGGGGGCGACTTCAGAGGCTGTGGGTGGTTGGGTGGGCACATGGTTTGGTGCCTTTCCTCTGAGTACTGGCCTGGGTGCCAGCACTGCACTTCTGGAGTCAGGGTGTAAGATCCCTGACCTCTCTGAGAGAAAGTGTTGGTTGAGTCTGTGTTTTGGCATTGTGGCATGGGGGGACTGTTTGAAACACATGGACCCAGGCCTAGGATTTCTGTGTGACCCCTGCAGCACCAGGGTCAGCAGAGTGGGCCTGCCAGGCTCTTCCTGGCTTCAGGCCAGCATACTGGCCCAGTAAGTCAGCTTAGGGCCCAGGAAGCAGTGGCCAGCCATCCAGTCACATCTGTCCCTTGGATACTGCCTTTGGAAGCCCTACAGATGTTCCTAGCTCAAGTTTCCACCTGGACCCATGGCCACTGGCCACCCATGCCCTACTCCCTGCTGGCTGAACCCCTCAATAGGAAGTCCGGGAAGAGAGTGCCCAAGCCTACAGATCTTAGAGACACAGAAGCAATTTCTCAGTAGCTGGTCTTTTTTGTTTTGTAAAAAGCTGTTCACAAACATGTTAAAGGTCCATTTATTCCTATTAAATTTTTCAAAATCCACATGCTGTAGTCCCAGTGTTTGGTCCCTGAGGTATGTCCTGTGGTGAGTGACTGTGGGAAGTGGCCCCTGCCTACCTTTGTGAGGCCCTACACTGTCTTGTGCCTGGGTAGGGTGGCTCCCAGGTCAGAGGGGTAGCTGCAGGAGGCCGTGTCCGTCTTCAGGGGCTGAGACCCTGGCCTGGCTGGGTGGGGATGGCCCCAGCCTCTGGCTTCTGGGGACTGCTGCAGGGAGGTCAGGGCTAGGGTAGCTAGCGTGGGTGGCCCTGTCCAGCCTGAGCAGGTGTGAGCTCAGGCCAGGGGCTGGTTGCCTGCTCTGTGGGGCCTTAATGCACTGACTGCTGCCCCAAATCATCTGCCGCTTTGTCCCCACCTCCCTGGGCTGCCCACCATGCATGCTGCTCGCTAACACTAGTCTGTGTCTTCTCCCTCTGCTGCATTCCCTGGGCAGGCACTTACCTGGGTAAGTAGCTCTGGTGCTAGTGGCCTCCCTGGTCACAGGGCTGGCTGGTGTTTCTACAGGCTCCATGAGCAGGGTGTCCATGCTCAGGAGCTTCAGGCCACCCTCCCCCTCCCCTGCCCCTGCTCAGCTGCCCAGGAAGAGCCAGGCCAGTACGACAGTCCCTTGTGGGCCCTGGAGAGTACCTTATATTGCAGGTGGTGTGTGGTAGAAGAGGGTGAGGAGCACCCTGAGTTGAAGGTCGAATGGGGGCGTATCCATTTTGGAGGTAGTGTAAGGGTGGAAGAGGGGATGAGAGCCCTGTGTTGGTGGAGGAGGGTGAGGAGCACCTCATATCGGAAGCAGTGAGGGGTACGCTGCATTGTAGGTAGCAGGGTGGAGAAGGGTGGAAGCACCCTGTGTTGGAGGTGGTATACAGTATAAGTGGGAGCATCCCACATTTGGGCCGTAGTGGGGCTGGGTAGGCTTCTCCCCTGAAGACCACCTCAGCATTTGAGGACCTCGAGGGCCCACATTGGTTAAAGTGCCTGCCCTGTCCTCTGTGCGGTAGACCCTCTAGAGATCAGTGCTGGCTCCTGCTCTCAGGTAGGCTGGGAGGCAGTAGTTAACCCTAGGTCAGCCCAGCTGGGGCTCCCTAGAGGGATGGGAGCCAGGTGCCCAGACTTCACCTCTCTGCTTCACTCCAGTGACATTCCTCCCAGGCCTCCAGTCAGCACATCCCTGGGGGCTGTGGCCCAAGTCTGGCCCAGTCTGTGGGCAGCTCTGCCTTCTGGGGTGTGAATACTTGCAGAGGGTATGCTGCTGAATTTGCAGCTGTGCCCTGTAGTGCCTGCTTACTGTGAGTGCCAGACTTCATCTACCCTGCCTCCATTGGAGGCTGGCGGGCAGCCTGCTTTGGCCCGGGGAGCTTTCTGCTTGTGGCCCAAGCTGCTGTGCCTTCTGCTGGCCAGCACAGAGCACACTCCACCCAAGCCTGAGAGCCATGGAGCCCCTGGGCATCATCTCCACAGCAGTGTGGGTAGGCTGGGATGCAGGGGAGCTGAGCACCCACAGCCTCATCTCCAGGCTGCATCCTGTGCCCATTGAGGGCCATCTGCAGTGTGAGAAGGTCACACCCCTGTCTCAGCTTCATCTCTGCCCTCTTCTCACCAGGTCTGGCAAACCATGGACAGACCAGGCACATGGTAAGAGGGACAGTGCTGGTGTGGCACAGCTCACATGACACCAAGTGCACACAGCAGCTTGCTCTGTGTTTGGGAACATCTGGGGGGCTGGGTGGAACCCAGGAGGCCACGCCAGGCCCAGCCATTTTGAGCCTGAACAGCCCTCAAAAAGCTCCTGCCTTTCCTGAGCCAAGTCTGGCTGCATATTGGCAAAACAAATTGGCCTGGACCTGGCTGCCTGAGGCCCTGCTGTTCCTGGAGTGTGGGGTGCTACATGGGAGGCCCAGAGGCCGACTCACACCTCTCCTCTGCTCCAGGGACCAAGCCGTAACCTACTGCTCAACGGAAAGTCGTATCCCACCAAAGTGCGCCTGATCCGGGGTGGCTCACTGCCCCCTGTCAAGCGGCGACGGATGAACTGGATCGATGCCCCAGATGATGTGTTTTACATGGCCACTGAGGAGACCAGGTGGGGGCTGTCCTGGGGCACAGGAAGGGGACAGGCAGGGTGAGTGGCCACCTTCCAGCCCTCACAGCCCCTTCCTCCCATTCACAGGAAGATCCGCAAGCTTCTCTCATCCTCGGAGACCAAACGTGCCGCCCGCCGGCCCTATAAGCCCATTGCCCTGCGCCAGAGCCAGGCCTTACCACTGCGGCCACCCCCGCCTGCACCGGTCAATGACGAGCCCATTGTCATCGAGGACTAGGTGGACACCTGCCCCCAGCCCACCCACCCAGCCCTCCACCATCCCCAATGTCCATGTCTGTAAGACCTGCACAGCTGGGTGGCCTCCTCCCCTGCCAGCGCTGCCTGCCCACCCTGCACCCTGCGTTTCATTAGTGCCCCACCTCCTGCCCTCCCTCGCAGAGACCGCTCCTTTGGCGGATGTTGGGGAAGAAGTGTGCTTTAACTTATTCCAAGAACGCCAAGGAGTCGTTTTTTAGCTTTGTGTTTACTTTTTGGCTCGAGCAGAGAGGAGGAGCGGGCCCCAGCAGTCTCTGAGATGCACAGCTGGGTGCCCTCCTCCCCTGCCAGCGCTGCCTGCCCACCCTGCACCCTGCGTTTCATTAGTGCCCCACCTCCTGCCCTCCCTCGCAGAGACCGCTCCTTTGGCGGATGTTGGGGAAGAAGTGTGCTTTAACTTATTCCAAGAACGCCAAGGAGTCGTTTTTTAGCTTTGTGTTTACTTTTTGGCTCGAGCAGAGAGGAGGAGCGGGCCCCAGCCCTTCGTGCGGTGGGGCTCTTGCCTGGGGCCAGGCCCAAGGTTTTTGTTGTGTTCTGTTGAAGGTGCCATTTTAAATTTTATTTTTATTACTTTTTTTGTAGATGAACTTGAGCTCTGTAACTTACACCTGGAATGTTAGGATTGGTGCAGCCAGTGGTGGTCAGGCTGCCTGGTGGGGTTGGCCCCTTGTCTTTTCAAGTAATTTTCATATTAAACAAAAACAAAGAAAAAAATCTCATAAAAAGGATAAAAACCCAGCCATCCCTTCTCTGTGTCTTTTGTTCTCACCTCTCCAGACTCAGGCTATTCCTGCCCCTAGCACCTTTGAGGACTCCAGGCCCTGCCTTGGCAGGTTTGAACAGGACACCTTCCTACGTAGTGGCCCCAGTGCTAGGCCCAGAGGCCTCCCATCCAGCCCTCTGGGGCAAGTGGGCGAGCTGGGCTGCTGGCCATACCCTGGAGCAGCGGTGGCCCTGAGGAGGTGAGCTGAGTGAGCCAAGACTGCAGCAAGGGAAGCCAGGTGTGGTAGCACGTGCCTGTGATCACACAGCACTGGGGGTTGGGGGTGGAGGCCAAGGCAAGAGATCACAGTTTGAGGCTAGCCTGGTACATTGTGAGTTCAAGGCCTGCCTGCATAGTGAGAACTTGTCCTAAAACAAAAGACTGCAGAAATGAGCTGAGCCTGCCACTGGGATTGTGTCTTGAGATTGGGCCCCTCAGGTTCTAGCAGGGCTCTGCCCCTGTGACTTGCACCTAGAGCTTTCTCAGGCTTGCTGAAATCTCACAGCCAGCCCTGTTTAGAAACCTTCCATTTGCTTGTCTCCTGCACCTACCCTCACAAGAACCGGGACAGTTGCAGGCTGGACCAGCTTGGGGGAGAAGTCTGAGCCCCATAGCCCCCGGCCCCAGGCTTTGCCCTCTAGTTGGCCCCTCTTTAGGAGTCATTGGGCTCTGCCTCCTGCCTCCACCCCACTCAGGCATCTGGGATGTGCCAAAACCTCAAATTAAAATAGAAACCACTTATGCCCTGAGACAGATAAGGGGGTGCCCGCCTCCCGCTTCCAGCCTGTGTTGGGGCCCAACAGGGTGACAGCCTCAGGTGTTGAGGACATGACTGTAGGGCACACTACCCATCTATCCTCTCAGGGTCCCTGGGTCAAGTCTGCCCCTCAGTCCTCGAGAAAGCCTCTGAGGCAGTTTGGGAGCGTGGAAGAAGGGAAGGGGCTTTAGACCTGCCAGCCTGGTGCCCTTCCCCTCTTCAGCCACTGGTTTCTCCCAAGCCTGGCCTTTCCTGGAGACATTGGGTGTGGGCAAGGGCAGCTTTGTCAGGAAGAGACTGGGACTGGGAATAGGTTTCTCAGCTTTGCTGTCCCTACAGCCCAGGGCAGGCCTTCCCAGGAGGGCCTGTGGTTATGCCCCAAGAGGTTGGGGTCTGCCTGGGGACCTGTCCTACCAAAGCTGTACCCCCACAGTACTGCCCAGCCTGGGCTTCTCCATCCACCACTGGCCCAAACCTGGGTTCCCTGCAGCAGAGCATGGCGCCATGTCGCTGAGGGAGGAGGGGTTTTGGGGGGACCTGACCAGTGCCTTGTCCTCTGACCTGACCACTTGGGCCCCTGCCTGTTTCCCCTGCACTCAGCCCTTTCTCATACCAGGAGTCTGTCTGGCCCTGTCACAGCCCAGCCTGTCAACCTCCAAGGCCTTAAGATGAAAGCCAGGCCCAGAATAGCCTCTCAGCACCAGGGAACCTCTTTTGCTGGAGGTGGGCCAGCCCCCTCCCTGACCCCATTACTTTACTGTACTGCTACCCTTTGGACAGCCCCATCTACCCTTTGGGCTGGTACCCTCAGTGCCCTTCCTAGAAGACCACTGTGCCCAGCCAGTCCATCCTCAGAGCTATCCTACAAATGTCAATTGGGGTGGAGCCTAGAGGGTGGTGCTTAGGTCCCCATCATTCCTGGGCTAGGCAGACCTGGAGGACACAGTAATGAGTACACCGAATGGGGCCCAGCAGCCATGAATTCAGCCTGAGGAAGGAGCAGGCTGCGGGTAGAGGGCCTTGCCCATGTCTCCAGCCTTGCTGGCATACATCCAGAGGTGCCCAGGAGAAGCTGGTCAGGCTGGTCAGTCAGGCTTTGGGGGAGTGTGTGTTTCAGGCTGCCGTCACCATGGAAATGGCTTGCAAGGAGGGATGGGGCACCCCAGAGAGCCCAGGAAGGCAGAGTCACCATAAACCCTGGTTTCTGAGAGCTCTGGAACACAGCATGCCACACCAGGGGCCCAGACATGGTAACAGGCCTGTCCTTGGCTGGGCAGGTGCACCAAGCAGGGAAAACGAAGCTGACCTTAGAGTCTGTCAGGGCCTCCAAGACAGTGCAGTAGGGTGAGTGGGGGGCACTGTGTGTAGTCAGCTGCCCAGACTGGGCCCAGTCATAAAGGCTTTCAGTGGGTGGAGAATGTTTGTTCCCTAGACCCAAGGGCCCAGTTTGAGCGAGGAAGGGCTCACAGAGAGGGCCTGTGAGTCCAAGGTTGGTCCTCTCCTCTGGGGACCAGACCTGCTGGGCGCTAGGATGAAGCATAAGAGATAGGAATGGTCAGGCAGGCAAGGCCCTGAGGAGAACTAGAAGTCCAGAGGCGTTCCTGAAAACTGGCAGGGTAGGAGCCCAGCTCTGCCGCCTATAGGATGCCCGGGGCCAGGATGGGTGCGGCCAGGGTCTTGGCGCCCAAGATCTCGGCAGGTGTCAGCCCACACCCCTGGCTCCTGTGGGAGTGTGTAGGAAGGAGCTTCCACGCTCCAGTGCCCCCTTCCGCCTCCTGTTCCCTCCCGCGTTGTCCGCGCTGTTTTTGGAACTAGCAGCGCCTCCCCAGAGCCCGCAGCCAGTCTTCAGCACCACAGACAGGACCGCGGCGCACAGCCCGCCCGGAACTAGACTCTTCGCGCTAGCGGCCGTTGCTATGGAAACTGGGCAACAAAAGAAGGCTGAGCAGCTCGGCGAGCGGGAGTGGGGGTGGGTCCTCGCGCAGCCCGGGAACCCTCGCCCCCTCCAGCTGCCCGGACGCCGTGGCGG